TGTAGTAGGTGTTGGAATTAATTCGTAGCGTTTTACAAGAGATAGCGTAGGTAGTACAGTATTTCGTTGTTACCTACAGTAATGTATTCATCGCGAAACAGCTGTTATTGAATGTCATTTGTTTTACATAACTTTTTTTTGAATTGTAAATAACAACACTTTATAATTTATTGAATATGTCAAAATTTGAGCCGAATAAAGTGTTTTTGCGGGGAGACGTTTTTTGACGTGTGAACTGCTGCTTCAACGGGAGAAAAGAAAAGGTTTTTTTCATCAAATTGTCACCGGTGATAAAACATGGATCCATTACGACAATCCGAAGCGCAGAAAATCATGGGTTACGCTCTGCCAATCATCAACATCAGTGGCAAAGCCAAATATCCATGGGTCTAAGCTCCTGCTTTGTATTTGATGGGATCAAAAGAGTGTGATTTATTATGAACTGCTGAAACCGAATAAAACCATAACTGGGGATCGCTACCGACTACAATTGATGCGCTTGAGCTGTGCATTGAAAGAAAAACAGCCGGAATACTCCAAAAGACACGAGAAAGTCATTTTGCTGCACGACAATGCTCGTCCGCACGTCGCAAAACCGGTACAAACATACTTGAAAACACTTAAATGGGAAGTTTTACCCCACCCGCCGTATTCTCCAGATGTTGCTCCTTCTGATTACCATTTGTTTTGTTCGATGGCTCATAGCCTGTCTGAGCAGAAGTTCACTTCTTACGAGGATTGTCAAAAATGGATCAATTCGTTGATTGCATCTTAAGACGAAGCGTTTTTCCGACACGGTATTCGTTCCCTGCCCGAAAGACGGTCAAAAGTAGTAGAAAGCAATGAACAATACTTTAATTAATGTATTTTTTTATTTCCATTTAAAATAAATAATTCTTTTTTATTAAAAAAACACTACGAATTAATTCCAATTCCTAATAGTATGGATGGAGAAGCAACAAATGCTATTCGGAGACGACCCAAGCAGCAAAACTGGGCAAAATTACCTCTATTTGACTTTCTAATAGGTCTAAAAGTTTTGTCGACCAAGCCTTATTTACTACAAATCGACGTCGAATGATGGTAAGTGGGGAAAAAAGTTGAAGTCATTTTATGGTCAAAATGAAGTAATGTAAAACACTTTGTCCTATGGGTCATAGTCCAATTTGGTCAACCAAATCAATTAGAAGATCGAATATTGGTAATATGGTGGTAATTCCGACTGAATTGTGACCAATTTTTACATTTTTCTTTTGGCGACGCAGCTTTCTCCTTCGAGACATCTAGGTGGCAGCATATTATTTCATATTCTTCAAGACCAGAATCTGTCCTACTCATATATATGGTACGGACCCTGGCCATAGAAATCTGAAATAAATTACTATAAGTCCACCGCTACTTTACTTTTAAAATTAAAGATTGCATGATATATGACGAAAATATGAGGACGAAAAAAAATTGTCTGTCTAGATTTTAATTCTACATCTTTTAAACTTAACGCGCTTTCAAAAACAAATAATTTAAACATTTATTATTTATATGTTAGTTATTTAACAATTATTTATTTTTTATATAGAACTATAAAACTATATAATCTCGAACCTGGACTAAAAATTATCTTAAANTAGATCGTTTTTTCAAGCTTAAATCACTTGAAAAATATAATAAAACATATATTTTAATGCCTCTTTTTTAGAAAGCATTTTTATACAACATGGCGGACATATCTGCTCTCATTTTCATGGCTGATTGTACGTTTAAGTAAGAATTTTGACATATACGTCAAATTTCCTTGCTCGAAGACCGAATGCCTAATTTTGAGNGCAACTCTTCTTAATCAGGACATTTTTACTTTAAAGTTGTGACCTTTGAAGTCGTCTTGTCGANCAATANAACATTACAACTANTAAGACCGATTTCTCTACTTACAAGTTAGATCGACTTCAAAATCATGATCGATTGTTTCGATTGAGGTAAAGATATAAAGAGGTTAGGGTAGGTTATGGTTTGATAACTGTTATCGGCATCAATAAATATAGACGCATATTTATATTCGTTGACAGCACATTGAGTGTGCTGACAGTGAAAAGAAGAAAAATAATCAAAATGAGTGCTGATCACTTTACACTTGTGGCTATAATAAAAAAAAACATGAGAACATTTCTAAAATGGAATATTCGTTTGTCCCACATTTTGTTTCGACATTTTTATCTTTAAAGTAGCAAGAGTAACCAGAGTAAATTTTTGCTTAGTACAATCACTAACTTTGAGAGCACTTTTGCTGGTCATTTGNACTAATTTCAGTCCAAATTTCCTAATAGAGCAATTTTCTTGATAATCTCGACTTTGCAGTTATAGCTCCTATCATAACTCACGATCGTGCAAGGGTAATGCGAGCCTTAAATTTTTCCTATTAGTTCAGTCGAATATGCAAGGTTTATATAAGGTAAAAATTAGGATATTTTGATCAATTAACACATATCGTCTACGTAGTTGAAATTAAGTAATACAACTAAGTCATATTGCTTTCAAACGAGACACTCATTTTGATTTCATAGCTTATTCGACCATGAAGGCACATCTTTAGTCAAAATTTAGTCATTTATAACTTAATGTCTAACATTAAAGTCACAGAACTTTGAAGGCATTTTATAAGTTAAAACTATATATTTTCGACTTCCATATAAGACTTGAAACATTATTCGACTTTTAGAACATTTTTTAGGTCAAAACTTGGTAATTTCATACTTAATTAAAACAATCTGACTTTGTTTTGATCAAGATGCCCAGCTTTGCTGCTTGGGGACGGACCTCTCAAGCGTTCAGGAGAAATCGCGGTTTGAAATTTAGCACGTACCGTAAGTAGAGTTTCAAAAAGAAGCTTACCGAAGTGGCGGCGTGGCGCAGTGGACAAGTAGTACCGCCGCACTAGTACTCCGCGGGTCGCGTGTTTGTGCCCTGCTGGTTTTGGATTTTTTTTTTTTTAAATTTGCTGCTTGTACTTCTTTCTCCTGTTTACACACACAAACACATTTTGTATAATATTACAGCGGAAAATATTTAAAATATACATAAACATTCACACTTGTTTTATTTTTGTATATGTGAAATAAAAAAATAAACAATGCAAATATTATAAATGTATATAGAGTAGATGTCCCAATTACTGCCACTGTCCCAATAACTGCCACTTTTATTTGTTTTACTTATAAAAATATAGCGTATAAGAAATCATACTCATAATAAATTTTCTTATGAAATTTGAACTTGGATTAACATAATAACACATATTTGTGTGTGCTTAGTAGTAAAAGATTAATATTAATAAGTAAAGTACAGTTTGAGTCTCAAAAACGCGATTGCGTAACTAGAAATGATGAAACAGTTGCACCTACTAAAGTTGATAATTTTCTTATCTGATCTATATATCTACTATAAAATGAATGTTAAAGTATAGTTTAAATATCACTTTAAAGATATAACAAATAAAATAAGTGATATTAAATTATTAAATTATAATAATTAACGGTAACAATAATAAGAACAATATTCTTCGGTTTGTCCATATCATTGCTATTAGAAATAGGGTCAATATTCTTCGATTTGTTCATGTCATTGCCATCAGTAATAAGAACAAAAAAAGGTATTAGGTACATGTAATTGTCATTTGTTAAAGCTGTAACTCTACCCTTGAAATTTAACATGTGAAGTAAGAGTGAAAAGTGTTTGTTGTATTGTATTAAATTTATTTATTTGCTCAATTAGCAATAGGTAATTTGTTTTTATTTAGTTCTTGTAATATATAGTTACTCATATTTTGTATATAATCTGATTTGGATAAAAAAGTGACAGTTGTAGAATAAGGGTTATAACACGATTCTCAGTAACATCATATTCATGATAATATCGACCTATGCATTCAAGAAAATGGACGGAATTTCGAACAGTTAATTCGCTAAGTGTACTACTTAGCAAATTAACTGTTCGAAGTTACAAATTAACTAAATAAAGCACTCCGATAGTGAGAGGCAAGGGGACTCACGTAAATAAAGCACCCCGATAGTGAGAGGCAAGGGGACTCACGTAAATAAAGCACCCCGATAGTGAGAGGCAAGGGGACTCACGTAAATAA